GATATCTTGAATGATAGGCTGGAGCCTAGGAGTTTTTGTTGGGAGCGTGGGTATTGTGATTGGGCCAGAAAATGAAGGGGGTTTTGGAGACAGATATGAATGAGCTCGTGGTGTGAGGAGATAGGACTTGAAAAATCCCAGACAGTAGGGTCCACCTTGGAAGGGGTAATGGGAAGGCACTGGCAGATGGAATAGGGGATGGTCCTAAGGTAAAGGTGAGGATCAGGGGAGTGGCAAGTGAGTCTGGATGGAAGTGTATATGAGGAGAGAAGGAAAGTGTAGCCCCCAGCTTTGTGAGGATGTCCCTTCCCATAAGCAGAATAGGGCACTGTGCAATGACCAAAAAGGAGTGGGTAAAAATCAGACAGCCAAAAGCACAAACAAGGCTAGGTGTCTGTAAGGGTTGGTAAGGTTTATCATCTACCCTAACAATAGAGGTCATAGAATGAGTACTAGGCCCCAGAACTCCTTGAGGACTGAATATGTAGCCCTGGTGTCTTGGGGGGGAAGGAGACAGGCCTAGCTGAAATACACAGAGTTACCCTGGGTTCTTGTGGAGAGATGGTAGTGGTCGGTGATGGGGACCTGGGCTTTGTCAATCTTCTGCAGCCAGTCCTAAGAGTGGAAAGGGGAACCAGAAAGGCTGGATGGCCAGGTGCCACTATAGGCTTGGGGACAGTCAATGACCCAGTGTCCCTTCTGATGGCATTTAGGATAAAGGCCCTGATGCTTGTGAGGCTTAAGATATGTACAAGCCCAGTGACCCATCTGACGACATTTAAAACAGGGTATGGGTGGTCCTGAGGGACCCTTTCACAGGCCAGTGGAACCAGGGGCAGATGCTAAGGCCAGACAGACAGCTTGAGTGAGCATCTCTCTCATTATACACCTTAAAGGCCACTTCCAGAACCTCAGCTTGGGGAGTTAGGAGCTCCCTCTTGAGGCATCTTAGTTTGGCCTTAATATTGAGGAAACTCTAGGAGAAAAAGTAGGTCATTAGTAATTGTCTCCCATCTGGAGTTTCAGGGTCCAGATTAGTATATTGTAATAAAGCCTTGGTCAGGGGGTCTAAAAATGTTGAAGGGTTTTCATTCTTATCTTGGAAGAGTTCCTGGAGCCTTTCATAACTGATAGCCTTATGGGATGAATTGGTTTCTACTAGTTACTCCTCTAGGTGAATTGTAATCCTAATTGGGGTCCCAATCAGAGACTGCTTCAATGCCAATCAGATGGGCAGGGGAAGTCTGATATACCTCATCAGCATAATTTCTAGCTGTGCTCCCAAACTCACCTGTGCTCCTCAGGCAGGAGGGTGTTAGATAAGATCATATGGACATCGTGGAAGGTCAAATTATTTGATTGATTCAGAAACTGAAACTCTTTGTTATATGTGGTGAGACTTGAAGTATAGGACCTAAGCTGCTTTTCTGACAAGGAGAAAGGCACATGAACCTGGATTACACCATCTACCCCAGCCACAGGCATAGAGGGCACAGAGATGCAGGTTAGGCAGTGGCAGCCCGTGAGTGTGTGGCAGAAGAGAAGGGCAGAGGGGCCGAGGGGACAGTTGCTGCAGAGGCTTCACTAGAAAGAGAATTGTGGTATGGTCTGGGCTCATCTTCTGGGTTGAAGGAGAAGGAGTCTCGGGTAGGATCTTCTGTCCCTTTGGAATCAGGTATAGCGGAGGTGAGAGCTGAGAGGACTTGTGTGGGAGAGCAAGAGCTGCAGAGAGGGGACTTAGAATGGAGAGAAGGTCTGAACGTATGATATCTCTTTCCATTTTCCCAAGTGCTCACAATAGTTGAAAAGATTCCTGATAATATTGGAATCTAGAGTGCCATTAAGCAGTCATTTGAAGTTGTTATCCAAAGGATATTGAGGCCAGATCTGATTGCATGAGCAGATAAGTCTTTTTGGGGGGTTTAGGTCCAGGTGAGAGAGAGAGACATAGGTTAGTCAGGAGGCAGCCTAGGGGACTATGGGAGGGAATGGATGAGGTGAATTTAGAGGTGGGGTGAGACATAGGAGGTGAGTTTAGAGGTGGGGTGTCCCCCAGTCTCTAGTATCACCTAGTCAAAAGGACGGTTATTCTCAGGGAGTCATCACTGGGTAAATGTTGGGGCAGGAGCCTGTAGAGGCCCTTGGGTGCCTGGCTGGGACTATGTAGTAGAGGCAGAAGCCTGTAGAAGGGGCAAACACCCATAGAGATTAACCAGAGGCCAAGAGGTCAGCTCACCAGGAACAACCATCAATCATCCTCAGTGTTTTGTTTTTTTTTTCTCAAAACGTAGGACCCAAATAAAAGACCACCTATAGACCCAGTTTACAGTAGGGATCAGCTGTAGCTGTGAAAGCTGTGGCTGGGGCTGCCCGTGACCACATGGTAACCCTTGGAGTGCTGCACAATCAATGGTCACTTCCTGGGACACATAGTTCATTTAGGTTGACCAGAGACAGGGGTCTTACCTGAAATGTCTGGTGGTGGGTACAGAGAGGGCATTCAGCAAAATGGAGGGCCTAGTCCCATGAAGGAATGCAGATCAGGGCCCTGTGATGCTCAGTGACCCTTGAAGAGGGGAGCAGACACTCCGGGGAACCTGATCCCGGGTTTCAGCACCAAAATGAAGGGAAAGCGAGGAATGAGAGACGGGGAAGTGAGAAATGAAAGACAGAGACCAGGCAGAGATATACATGAGAGTTTATTTGTCAGAGCTGACAAATAGCCATCTCTGTATAGGAGAGGTTCTGGGCCTTTTATAGGGCAGGCTCAGGAATCAGAGCAGAGGAGGTCCTAATGCAGGCAGTTAAGGGTTGGGTTGGTATGAGGGAGCCTTTCTCAGAAAGGATCTTGGGTTGGTATGGTGAGCCTTTCTCAGAAAGGATCTTGGTCAGGAAGCGAAATTTTTTCCTTAAAATGGCGGCTGTCACTTAAGATGGCTGTCCAGATGCTAAGCAAGGATCTTATAGACCCTGTCTCAAAATAAAAAATAAAAAGGGTGGGGATGTTGCTCAGTGGTTAAACATCCCTGTTCTTGATCTTCTGAACCTGCTCCCACCACCAAAAAAAGATTAAATATCATGAGAATTATTCATTCTTTGAGACTGTAAGGAAGGATGGCCATGAGAACAATCAGTCCTAGTACCTTTTGTGGGGATACAAATCAAATGAAAACATCCAGTTTCTTCAATGGGTATTGATCTTCTCAACTCTTCTGACTCTACTTGAGTCAGTTTTTTTTTTTTTTTAAAGAGAAAGTGAAAGAAAGAGAGGGAGAGTGAGAGAATTTTCAATAGTCATCCTCCAGTTTTCGGTGGACACAACATCTTTGTTTGTATGTGGTGCTGAGGATCGAACCTGGGCCGCACGCATGCCAGGCGAGCGCGCCACCGCTTGAACTACATCCCCAGTCCTTGAGTCAGTTTTGACAATTATATATTTCTTAAAAATTTGCATTTTCTATCTTTTCTTCACTTGTCAGGAGTTTACTCATCTTTCTGAAGACTCTCCTTTTGGATTTATTCAGAGACTGGTTGTTGTGGTTTGGTTTTGTTCTCAATGTTGGATCATACGGTTGCTATAGTATAAACTGGAACATCCTCCAGAGGCCCATGTGTTAAAAGTAATACTAAAAGTAGTGCCTGTGGCACTACTGGGAGGTGGTACAACCTGAAACAGGTGGGGCCTAATGGGAGATCTTCTGCTCACTGGAGGCATGCCCTAAAAGGAGATAATAAGATCCCAATTCCTTCCTTTCTCTTTCACATCCCGCCTATGATGTGGGTAGCTTTGCTCTGTTATGTGCTGTCTGTCTATACTTCCTTGCCATGATGTACTGCTGCTCCACAGGCTCAAAAGCAATGAAGTCAACTGGTCACAGACTGAAACCTCTGAAACTATGAGCCAAAGTAAACCTTTTCTCTTTACAAGTTGATTAGATAAGGTATTTTGTTACAGTGATGGAAAGCTCACTAATACAATGATCAATGTAAAATATTCTGTGTAGCTTTATAGCAAAATTTAGACTGAAAACTTGTATTAATTTCACTACGCTTACATGCCTCTTTTTCCTTCTTTGTCTGAAACAAAGTTCATTTTCTTCTAGAGCTGAACCTTTGACTTGGCAACTCCATTCTGAGTGTATATAACAGAATGTGTGTATATGTTCACCAAAAGGCAGGTTCAGGCTGGGGATGCAGCTCAGTGGTAGAGCATTTGCCTAGCATATGGGAAGCCCTAAGTTTGATCCCTAGTACTGGGGGAAAAAAAGTGTTCATAGCAGCACTATTTGTAATAATCCAAAACTAGAAAACAACCCTCATATTTATCAATTATAGAATGGATAAATTGTCAAAAACCATCTACAGCAGAATATATACAGTGATGAGAATGAATGAACTACAACTACATGCATGAACATGGATGGATCTCACCAGCATAATACTGTATGAAGTATGAAGAAGCCACACAGGTAAGAATGTATACTGTATTGTTTTATTTATATAAAATTTAAAAACATAAACCAATTCATGGTTATATAAGTCAAGTGGCTAAAATGGGGGTGGTGGCACACACCTGTAATCCCAGAAACTGGGAAGCCTGAGGCAGGAGGACTGCAAGTTCAAAGCCAGCAGGGGTAACTCAGTGAGACTCTGTTTCAAAATAAAAAGGGCGGGGGATGTAGCTAAGTGGTAGAGTGGCCGAAGTTCAATCCCCAATACTAAAAACAACAACAATAACAAAACAAATAAAAATCTGAACTGAAAATGATCAATTCATTTTCATAATTCTTCGGAAACTTCAACGTTATTATTTCTGTTTTACAAACGAAGAGTATAAGCCGCAGCAGTTGAGCCATTTGCAACTGCTAAATGGTAGAACTGAGATTGTAATTCAGGCCTTCTGATTCTAAACCATCAATTTTACTAAAGTTATCCTCCATGTCCAAAAGAGATGTTTGCTTGGGCCTTGTTTTCCTTACGCTGTCAAATTTGAGTATTTTAAATGTGTTTAGTTAGTAACATCTGCTAGGCGCATGCGTCTCTTCCTTTTCCCGCAATAGGGTGGAGGGGAAACGCCTCCTCTTTCCCCTACGCTTGCCTCTTTTGGCCCCGGCGGCTCGCCATCATTGGCGAAGACATTCGCTAGGATGGCGACTGGAACCCCGGATTCGCAAGCACGATTTGGTCAGTCAGTGAAGGGGCTTCTCACTGAGAAAGTGAACACCTGTGGTACCGACGTGATCGCGCTCACCAAGCAAGTGCTCAAGGGGTCCCGCAGCTCCGAGGTGAGCTGGGAGTGGAAGCTGCCGGCCCAGCACTCCGGAACGGGCAGTCTTTCGTAGTTGGGTTCGGTCGACGCGTTGCATCCTGGGGCGTGTAGGCTGTGAACTGGTCGCCCGGGGTGGGGCTGGTCCTTGGAGGGCGCGTGTTGCATTCTGGGGTGTGTAGTCTCTGGGTAGGTCTAGCGGCTTAAAGCGAAGAAAAGGGTGATGAGAATCTGCGCTTTTAAAATAGTCCTTAATTGTACATGGGGTTGTCTCTAGTGAAGATCGGGCCCATTCGGCCCCGGAATTTCTGTATCAGCATCCCAGATTTCTTCCACACTTTTGTGCATCGCCAAGGGATTTATTCCTTCCTGATTTGTCTCTTTGATCACATTCTTGGTTTTCTGGGTTTGGTTTGGTTTTAGAATAGCTTTCTCCTTTGCCCCGTTTTCTCTCTCCGTCTTCTGCCTGGTTCCATGAGTGGAATTATTTGATGGCTTCTCTCACCAAAAAGCTTTATTTATATACACTGCCTCTCCTTCAAGCAGACCTATCTATGGAGCTAGATATTCACCCAGGAGAAATGAAAATATATGTCCCCATGGATTGGTGAAAGGATGATGAAACGGGTCCAGTGACCCAGCGTCTCCACTCATAGATACTTATTCAAGAGAAGTGAAAACATATGCCCATCATTCTGTTTTGTTTTCTTTTTTGTTCATATTTTGTTCATCATTTTATTGGATAAAACAATCACACATTTAACATAGGTAATATTTCCAGTTTTGCCTTCTTTAAAATGGTGTGTGTGTGTGTGTGTGTGTGTGTGTGTGTGTGTGAGCGATGAACCCCAAGGCCTCAGGCATGCTAGGCAAGCACTCTACTACTGAGAGCTACATCTCCAGTCCGAATATTATGCCCTTAGCTTTACTGAGAATGGCTTCACACAACCAACCAATCAACAAAACAACTATATGAGAAGGTGCTTGCATGTTTAATTCCTTCTGTTTTTCATGTCTTTTAGATTCCTTTTCTTTTTTAAAAAGGAAAATTGTGTGTGTGTATATGTGTGTGTATACATACAATTACATATAATTTGGTATAAATCGTCTTGAATTGTTTTTTGGGGAGAAACATGGTACAAATATGTATTGGACTAGGGATGTGGCTTAGTGGTAGAGTACTTGCCCAGCATGTATGAGGCCCTGGGTTTGATCCCCAGCATGACAAAAATAAAAATATGTATAAAACTTAAAAATTGGTAATGTTCATAGTTAACCAAAGGTATTATTGAAAAATCATAATAAATTTACATTTATTGAGCATTTTCTGTGTGCTGGACACTGCTATGTTTTATTTAACTTAAATCATTAAGATGTTATATTGATTATAAAAATATAATTATTGAAAAAGAAGGTACTTTTCTTACATAGAAGATACAGAGAGGATTTTAAATTGTTTTGGGTCATACCAGCTAGGATTCAAACCTGGTCCTAGGCTCATACTCTTGAATACTGCCTTTCATGTTATTAGCTCAGTTAAGTGATCAAAAAGTTACTGTGCCATCATTGACTGCCCTCATCTTTGCATTCTTCCCCTTATGTATTTTTCACATAGGCTTCTGCTGAGGGATATTTAGATTTGTGTTCATAAATTAAATGTGTGGATTGAGCTAAACTAAAATATAGCTGGCTTTCTGAGATAGGATTAATACATCATCTCTCAATTCTCTGAACTTTGTACTGAATCTGTCTCTCTTTCTTTTTTTAAAAAATATTTTTAGTTGTAGATGGACACAATACCTTTATTTTCTTTTCTTTATTTTTATGTGGTGCTGAAGATCGAACTTAATGCTTCCTACTGAGCTATAGCCCCAGCCCTGTACTGAATCTCTTACATGACATTTATACCATGTTGCCTTTTCTGTACTTTTACCATTTTCTTTATTAGCCTATGAGGTTATTGGAGTGTCTTTCTGATTTTCAGTCCCTTCTAATCCATAGAGATTGTTTCAGCAGTCTCCACATAGCTATTTGTTTAATTGACAATTTGCACTTGTAAAACACTCATTCCACAGCATTCATTTAACAAATATTTATTAACAAAGAGTTCCTGCTATATGCCAGGAGCTGTTCTAGGTGCAAGGGATAAACAAAACCAAATTCCTTTACTTAAAAGAGACAGACAATAAATGAAACACACAAAAAATCAAGAGGTGGTAGATGCTATGAAAAAGACTAAATCTGAGAATAGAGAATGATGAAAGGCTTCGCCTTCAGCAGGGTGGTCAGGAAAGGGCCTCTGGGGAGGTGACATTTGAGCAGACAACGGAATGAAGTGTGGGAGCAAGCCATGTGGATATCTGGAGCAAAATGTCAAATGCAGAGGCCTTGAGGTGAGGGTGAGTATAAGGAATGCAGGGAGTCCAGTGTGCCAGGAGCAGAAAGTGAGGCGACAGGTGCCCACTTAGGCCCACAGCACAGGAGTGCTTGTCACTAATACGCTATTCTCACACACCTGTCCTATCCAGCTGAGTCACATGCTCAGTGAGGATCCGTTGTGTTTTTCCTGAACTGTGTGGGTCCCTTATACTTGTTATTGCAGCTACATAATTGAATGTAATCATATGGAAAGATGAATGAAAAAAATAGAGCTGCTATTGCTATGAAAACTAAGATGAAGATGGGGCTAGGGATATGGCTCAAGTAGTAGAGCGCTCGCCTGGCATGTATAAGGCACTGGGTTCAATCCTTAGCACCATATAAAAATAAAAAATAAAGATATTGTATCCACTTAAAGCTAAAAAAAAATAATTATTAAAAAAAACTAAGGGCTGGGGCTGTGGCTCAAGAGGTAGCGCGCTCGCCTGGCATGCGTGCGGCCCGGGTTCGATCCTCCAGCACCACATACAAACAAAGATGTTGTGTCCACCAATAACTAATAAATAAATGTTTAAAAAAAAAAAAACTAAGATGAATCAGAAATACTTGTTGCAGATGAGTAGCTAAAACAAACTTATTGAGTTTCCGTGCTCAGATTGTTTTGCAGGTATATTCAAGATGTTCCATTTTAAAGAAGGCAAAGCTGGAAGTCTTAGATGATAGATGTGTTGTTGGTTTATGTAAGAAAATGATGCAGAGTGCTAGTGAGTACATCTGGTCATCAAGGATAAGGCCTTGGCCCTGCATTGCGACAGCCCCTGCATTCCAGGCAGTTGCAAGTTCCATCACATTTATCTTCTAAATGTTTCTCAAATCCTCCTTTTTCACATTCTGTGTTTATTGCTTGTCTGAAGTCCTGTCATGTCCTCTTAACCATTCTGTCTGTCTGTATCCTCCTGCCCCGAGTCCATTCTGCTTACCACACTTCTAAAATAGTAAATCTAATAATGCTATTTTTCTGAAAAATTACATGTAAAATGAGTCTAAATCCTAACCTTTACATCTTAGCTTAGAAGTTGCTTCTTTAGGAAGCCCTCCCTGAATAGCTACCCTCCTAATAAGCTGGACATCCCCGCTCCCACATGCTCCTTAAGTACCCACTGCTTCCCTGTCAACACTTCCCTCAAGATATTTTAGTGCCTATGACTCTGTAGCCCCTCCAAAATTGTGAGCCCCTTATTACTCTTATTCAGAGAACTGGTATATTCTAAGTACTCAAAAAATATTTGTTGAATGAATAAGTGAATGAATAACATATTTTATTCATATCCTTTCTTTATGTAATTAGTTTGTCACTCACTATCCCCCATCTATAGGTGTTTGAATTGTGTTACTTTAAAGTGGCTGTAGAGGGGTTGGGGATATAGCTCAGTTGGTACAGTGCTTGCCTTGAATGCATAAGGTCCTGGGTTCAATCCCCTCACCTCCAAGAAAAGGTGACTGTAGGGATATGGCAGCATCACTCAATGGTATAGTACATGCCTAGCTCGGGCAAGATCCTGGGTTCAATCCGTAGTGTTGAAAAAAATAAAAAAGGGGCTGGGAATGTGGCTCAAGCGGTAGCCTGCTTGCCTGGCATGCGTGCGGCCCAGGTTTGATCCTCAGCACCACATACAAACAAAGATGTTATGTCCACCGAGAACTAAAAAAATAAATATTAAAAAGAAAGAAGAAAAAAATAAAAAATAGTGGCCATAGGAGTGGAACACACACTTTCATACATTATTGGTGGGAATGCAAAGTGTCACAACCCTGGTGGAGGGGATTTGGTAATATTGTAGCAAAACTACATATAATAACCATGATTCTATGAGTCTGTCCTAAAGGTAAGCTAACAAAAATGCAGATACATAAGAGTTCTTTGTAACACTTCTTTCTTTTTTTCTAAAGAGAGAGGAGGGAGAGAGAGAGATAATTTTAATATTTATTTTTTAGTTTTCGGTGGACACAACATTTTTGTTTGTATGTGGTGCTGAGGATCGAACCCGGGCTGCAAGCATGCCAGGCGAGCGCGCTACCACTTGAGCCACATCCCCAGCCCTGTAACACTTCTTTCAATAGCAAAAGACTGGAAACAGCTGGGTGTGGGAGGCTGAGTTCAAAGCCAGCCTCAGCAATGGCAAGGTGTTAAGCAACTCAGTGAAACTCTGTCTCTAAATAAAGTACAAAATAGGGCTGGGGATGTGGCTCTGAGTTCAATTCCCGATACCAAAAAAAAAAAAAAAAAAAAAAAAGACTAGAAACAACCCCAAAGACTGGTTGAATAATCTGATATATCTATATAGTGTGGTACTTGTAGTTGTAAAAGAATGAAGGAGATTCAATATACGTTGCTGCAGATCAATGTGAGGGTTGTATTATGACATGAAAACAGCAGGGTGTGGAAGAATACATATAGTATGTTATATTTTAAGTAAAAACTGGGAGGGAGTAAATACATATTGTTGGCTCTCTATATCTACACGTTCTATATCCACAGATTCAATCAATTGCAGATTGAAAATGTAGTTATGTCTGTGATGTTTGTGCCTGTGCTGAACATGTGCAGACTTTTTCCCCTTGTCATTATTCCCTAAACAATACAGTGTAACTGATTGCATAGCATTTACATTGTATTGTGTATTATAAATAAGTTGGAGATGATTTAAAGGTACAGGAAAATGTGTATAGATTATGTGCAAATATTGTGGCTTTTTTTTTTTTTGACATGTAATGCATCTGTTTCTTATCTGGACCCAGAAGTAAAAATATCGGCAGTCTATTTCCAACTGTCAGGGAACAGAAGGGAAAGTGCATATCTGCCTGTGATGAAGTGGCTCAGGCCCACTCATACCTAAAGTTTTTTTTTTTGTTGTTGTTGTAGTTGTTTTGTTTTGGTAGCAACACTTTAAAAAATTTTGTTCTAATTAGCTATACATGATAGTAGAATGCATTTTGATACACTGTACACAAATGGAGGATAACTTCTCATTCCTCTGGCTGTACATGGTATTGAGTCACACCAATAGTGTAATCATACACGTATATAGAGTAATAATGTCTGTCTCATTCAACCACCTTTCCCATCCCCACAACACCACCCTTCTCCCCTCACTCCCCCCTGCACAATCCAAAGTTCCTTCATTCTTCACTGCCCACCCACCCTGGTGGCATTTTAAATAATGGACTTGAGCTCTACAGAATTCGGTATCCACTGGGGCCCGGGAAACAATCATCTGCAGATACCAAGGGACAACTATACAAGTGTCCTTGTTTTAAAATGGAACAATGGAAAGATAAATGAAAAACTAATAAAAATAGCCATGCATGGAGAGTGGGGGAGGGACAGAGATGGAAGGTTTTTATTTTATTGTTCAAACTTCAGAAGTACATAAAGATTTACTAATTTTAAAACTTAAACTGAAAAGAAAAATAAATAAATAAAAGTTTTCCTGGGGGAAGGAATCTGGGAACTACATCCATTTTCACCAGACTGTCTACCCTAGGGGAACAGGGAGGGCTGATAGGATGCACATTGCATCTTTACCGGGCCGGACTTAGGATGCTGGGAGCAGGGTACACCATGAGGCCAGAAATCTTAGTTGATCTCTGCTTGCCTCTCAGTGTCAACTCAGTCAGCTTTGCTGTGACCTCAGGCCATCCAGCTGAGGCCAAGCTCAGCTTTTTCTCTCTTGTTTCAAGGCCCAGCTATCTGTGAACTCATTAAAATCTGCCTCCACATTTCTCCTTGCTTTTCTTCTCCAACCCCTTCTGGCCATCTTCCATGTAGTGGTTCCCACTCTAAGCTTGGAGCTTCTTTACAGGACCCCCTCCCCATCCTTTTTATTGTCTTCCTTTTTCCTTTTTTTTTTTTGGTGGTGCTAGGCTTGTACGCTAGGTAAGAGTTCCAGCACTGAGTTGCATTTCTAGACAGATCCATTCCCCCTGTCTTTTCCAGCCTAGCCTCAACTCCTGCTACCTCACCACTCTCTAACTACTACAAATTCCAAATTTGCTTTTAAAGAATCAAGTCAGAGCCATGCGCAGTGCCACACACCTGTAATCCCAGTGGCTAGGGAGATGGAGGCAGGAGGATAGTGAGTTCAAAGCCAGCCTCAGCAAAAGCGAGGTGCTAAGCAACTTTGTGAGACTCTGTCTCCAAATAAAATACAAAATAGGGTTGGGGATGTGGCTCAGTGGTTGAGTGCCCCGAGTTCAATTCCCAGTTCCAAAAAAAAAAAAAAAAAAAAAAAAAAAGAATCAGAAGTCAAGTTCTGTCACTGGACTTACGGAGATAAAGGTTTCATGCTGATTTCTCTTGACACTTGATGAATAAGCTATGCAGAATGCCCTGTGGTCTTGGAGCATTCAGATTCTCAGGAGGAGGCTTTTGGACAGATGTCAAGCCCATGCCAGAACTGCCACAGTGCCAATGAAATGAATTTTCAATACGAACAAATGGAAAGTTCTTCTCCATTATATTATGAACATTTGTGGTTGTGTTTGATGGAGGAGGGCAGGAGGGAGAGGATGGTGGTGGAACAGTTGCACAGAGAAAATTGCAGGAAGTTTGGAAATTTTGATCATTACCATTTTATTCTTGTCTTCCAGCTGCTGGGTCAGGCAGCTCGAAACATGGTACTACAGGAAGATGCCATCTTGCACTCCGAAGACGTAAGAAATAATTTCTTGTATGATTTGGGTTTAGATACATAGTTGGTGTGGCTACCAGGAAGTGGAATATTCTGCTTCTTTCTCTTTTTATGCAGAGCTTAAGGAAAATGGCAATAATAACAACACATCTTCAGTACCAGTGAGTATTCCCTTTCTAGCAACTGCTTGCCGCAAATCATCTATAGCCCGCTTTCATTGCTTCTGTGCTTCAGCACATTTTCCCCATGGAGGCAGGGTTGGGAGAGAAGTTGAGGTTGGTCAAGGATGAAATTCCTCTGTGGAGAGAGGCCTGACATTTTAGAAGTTGAGTTAGAGGGTGAGATCAGGAGCATGGGCCACCTTTTGTGAACCCCCCTCTGTTAATATGAGGACTCCTTGGAGGGATATCCTATAATGTCAGAGCCCATACCAGGACTATGCTGGCACTGTGCTTAGCACCTGATATTTGTCAACTGTGCCCAGTGTCTCTCCTGTGGTAACTACCCCTTCACCAGGGAATCAAGTGTAATGGGAATCTGTGTCTTACAATCCACATGTTACATGGAACCAGCTGCCAAATTTGAGCCATTCTTCTGGTTTGTTGGACCACTCCCTCACTCTGGAGAGTACTGTTACCTCTTTAGTTTAGAATCCACCTTTTTTTTTTTTTTTAATAGTTGTAGATGGACAGCATGTCTTTATTTTTTTTTTAATTATTATTTTTTTTAGTGAAGTACTGAGAATCAAACCCAGTGCCTCACACATGCTAGGCAAGCTCTCTGCCACTGAGCTACAGTCCTAGCCCTAGAATTCATCTTTTTTTTTTTAAATGTACATAACTTGACTTTTAATAAAAAAACCTTTCCCCTTATGAAAACGTAATTTTTGCATTATAGATAAATAAGAAGTTACAGAAAAGCTTGAAAAAGAACATCAAAAATCATTTTTAGTAATATCATCCATTGGTAATTACTTTTGATATTTCTGAGTATTTCTTTTGAAATTATTTTATGAAATGTTAGGGTTATGTGGAAGTTGGAGTGAGCTGCTCAATTTAGCAGCTGTTTATGAATTCCTTAGTAGTATGAAGGGAGTTTTGCTGTGGGAGAAGAGATGTCCAGATCCCCCTCCTCATCACCCCCACAAAGACACTAAAATGTAGCTTCATTGGTAGAATAGGAAAAGGGCATTAATGTTCTTAGGAAATTATCATCTGCAAGGACCTAAAGTTTATTCAACAACTTCCCTTTACTTACTATAGTAACATTGATTGATGGTAATTATTATTATAAACAGTATTATTATTTTATAGGAAGGGACATATAGATCCATGGAAGAACTTTGTGGCAACTGCTTCAAGAGTCCTGTGAAAGGAATTCTTCTCTTTTTCTATTGATCATTTCTGACCTCCTCTGTGGTTATATTAATCTGTATGATATGTTTATATATTTCTCATTTTTATAATGCATTGTAAAAGATTTGGTGGCATAATCAGGGTTTCAGAGGTTAAGTTTTCTAAAGTCAGACAGTTTAAAGGAGATGGGGTAAGATGTGGTGTCTTTGTTTAGACTGCTGTGGTAGAATACCATAGTCTGGTGGTTTAAACAAATGTTTAGTTTGCACAATTCTGGAGCCTGGGAGTCTGAGATCAAGGTTTCCATGTGGTTGGGTTCTTGGTGAAGGCTTTCCTCTTATTTCACAGATGGTCATCTTCTCATTGTATCCTCATGTGACGGGAAGAAAAATCATGTCTCTTTTCTAATGGGAACTATTCCCATGCATGAAAGATGATTACACAACACCTTCATGTCTTAAATACCTCCCAAAGCCCTCACCCCTAATGTCATCACATTGGGAGATGAGGATTTCTTTCTTTTTTTATTTTTTACATACATGACAATAGTGGAATGTATTATACTCATTATTACCCATTACAGCACAAGTTTTCATAACTCTGAATATAAAGTATGTTCATGCCAAATTATGCCATTGTACATGTACTCTTTTTTTTGCATTACAATTCTTAATATACATATATACCACAATTTTTCATATCTGTATATAAGGTATACTGAAACTGACTTCAAATCTTCTTACATGTATTTTGTATAATGATGACCATCATCTTCCCCCAATCTTGCTATTCCCCTTCACCCTCCCTTTCCCTCCCACCCTTCTTCCTTCTCTAGAAATAATCATCCTCCCATGCTCTCCCTTCCTGTTCTACTTTGAGTCTCCCCCCTTATATCAGAGAAAATATTTGGCATTTGTTTTTTAGAATCCATTTTTTTTAGCAGCTCTGCACTCAGATAAGAATCCCTTATAATAATCTTTGGAGAGGATGGACAGAAATATAGAGTGAAATATAGAGCTGGAAATTTGTTCTGCCTGTATATATCTGTATATATCATAAATAACTTCTACTAGTTCACCAGGTTTTCTTATGTTTATTTTCCTCTTTCATTTTCTGATTTAGGCAAGAAGCTATTCAGAAGAAGTAAGTAATCCCAAAAGCAGGGAGTGGGGGGCCAATTAAAGCAGGCTGGAGATTTGTACTGCTTTACCCAGGATCAGTGTAAAATTCTGGTTGACATATGCCCTTAAATTGGCATGCTCTGAGATAGCTCATTTAGGACTTAAAGATCACAGTATATCTATGGTGTGGCAGCACATGCCTTTGGCCAGGCTTAGCAGTTGAGTAAGACCCTAAGCAATTTAGCAAGATCCTGTCTCAAAATAAAAAATGAAAAATGTCTAGGAATATAGCTCAGTGGGAAAGTGCCCCTGGGCTTAATCCCCATTACCAAAAAAATAAAAACAAAAACAAAACCAGTGTATTTCCGGTCTGGGGATCTAGCTCAGTGGTAGAACACTTGCCTAGCATGTGTGAGATCCTGGATTTAATCCCCTATACTACAAACAACAATAGAAATTTTCAAAGGCATATAGTAACTCAATTCACTGCTAGTAAAGGCATTCTAAAAGTTACAGGGTATAGACCCAACTTTAAGGAATTAAAAAAAAAAAACCCTTTTACATTGGTAAAATTCATTAAGTAGAGTAAAAGTGCTAAAGTCATTAAATAGATTGGCTTTTTTTGTTTGTTTGTGTGATATTGGAGATTGAAACCAAGGCCTCCTGTGTGCTAGGTGAGTGCTACCAAGCTACATCCCCAGCCCTTTTTATTTTATTTTGAGACAGGATCTTCCTAAATTACCTAGGCTCACCTTGAACTTGTGATCTTCCTGTCTTAGCCTCCTGAGTAGCTGGGATTATAGTTGTGTGACCAGCACTAGATGGTTTTGCAAACCTTTCTTTCTTTAATAAAGAGAGAGTGAGAGAGGAGAGAGAGAGAGAGAGAGAGAGAGAGAGAGAGAGAGAGAGAGAGAGAGAGAGAGAGAGAATTTTTAATATTTATTTTTTAGTTCTCGGCAGACACAACATCTTTGTTGGTATGTGGTGCTGAGGATCGAACCCGGGCCGCACGCATGCCAGGCGAGCGCGCTACCGCTTGAGCCACATCCCCAGCCCGAAAACCTTTCTTAAAAGCTTCAACATTTTTTTCCCCTTATGTTGCCCAGGCTGGCCTCAAATTCCTGGGCTCAAGTGATCCTCCTGCCTCAGCCTTCTAAAAAGCTGGGACTACAGGTACATGTCACTACATCTAGTTTATAAATGAAACACTTCTAGGTATCTGTGCTGTGGCAGCACATACACCTAGAAGTATTGGTATTGGTCCCACCAATATGAATTTGGATTTATCTGTAACAATATTTATGCATTAAAGAATAAATAGATTATACAAAGAAAATCTTTATTGCTCATTTCAGATAAACCCTTTCTCTATTCTAATTTCTAGTGTTGAACAGTCATCAGATCTACAGGACCAGTTGAATCACCTGTTAAAATAGAATGGCATATAAGAGGGGAACAGCACTTCTTTGCCTGATGCTAAGGAGGATTGTCTTATACAACTTTTGGGCTGTGGGTTTGATTTTCCATTTCATCTCAACGTTGCATTTGAAAAAAATTTGTGGATGTATAGTTTCTCCTGAAAAGAAGTTGACAGCATAAAACTTCTACTGTGAACCATGAAAATAATTAATTTTTTTTTCTTTTAGATCATTCAGGGTACATTTTTATTTCGTGAATATTAATAGGTAATGAATAATGATAGGTAATACCTGTTGACTTGTTCTTTTCTTTTCTATTAACTCAGAGAAGATACTTATCTTATTTGTTGTAGCAAATTCCTAAATGAAAATTAAGTAAATGGTAATCATATCTGGCCAGCTGTAGCCTCTTGCCTTGACCTGCATTCCTTGGGTTCCTTTGTTGTTGTGATTCTTGATTAAATGACCTTGGTTCATTTTGTAATTTTGCTAATTATCAGCAAGTTCACTTGTACAACGTCATTGCCAAATGTGAAGGGAGATGAATTACTATGAGTGATTGTGGCACAGGATTGTACCACGATGAAAACCTTAATATTTGTAGGTATTTATCTATGTTCATTAGATTCTTCTTGTTAATTGACATTCCCATTATCTATAGGAGTACTTTGTTTGAAGTTAATTTGGGACTATCCTATTGTAAGGAATTGAGAGAAAGCTGACATGAGAAAGTGTCTTCCCTGATAGGAAAAAAAAAAAGCAAATTCAATCCAATTTAATTCATATTATATAATACCAAGTTAACAGATAAAATTACATATGTCTCTCTTTATACACATATGTATGTATACACTTGTGAAGAATCTGAAAAATCAATTACTTAAGCATTAATTCTATAAACTTTTACTAACAATTATTTTTAAATGTAAACAGGCTCTACTTACCTTTAAAAGAGAAAAAAAAAAAACTAAGTCCAACTGTTACAAGAAGTGGTAAAATACTTAAGACAAAAAACATTAAAATGGAGGTATGATCTATGTTTGCTTTGTGTTAGAACAAATGTTAAAGAAGCAGTGATTAGCTGGACATGGTGATACATGCCTGTAATTCCAGCGATTCAGGAGTCTAAGGCAGAAGGATTGCAAGTTTGAGGCAACTCAGCAATTTAGTGAAGCCCTAAGTGATTTAGTGAGACCCTGTCTCAAAATAAAAAATAAAAAGAGCTGGGAATGTGGCTCAGTGGTAAAGCATCCCTGGGTTCAATTCCCAGTAAGGAAAAGAAAAGAAACAGTGATTGCTTATATTGTATCCAATAAGATAAATTTCATAGTAAACATTGTAATAGTAAAGGTATATAGGGCTGGGATTGTAGCTCAGAGGTAGAGCACTGGCCTACCATGGGTTCGATCCTCAGCACCACCTAAAAATAACTTAATAAATATATGTCCACCTATAACTAAAAAATAAAATATTAAAAAAATAGTAAAGGTATATAATGAAAATCTAGTAGTAGTGAAATCAGTCACTTTAAAAAACATAATGCCAAAATATATGAAAGAAAATAAACAGATAACCAGAAATGTGAGAGCAATAGAAAATGTTACATAATTTTTTATAGAAATAAATAACATAGATAGAATTCACTAGTGATCAAAAACATGGATATAAAAAATACTTCATTAGGTAACATAAGTCATAGTGGATATGCTGGAAGATAATTGTTTTTGTTGTTGTCAATGGACCTTTATTTTGCTTATTTATATGCAGGGCTGAGAATCAAACACAATGCCTCACATATGCTAAGTTAAGTGCTCTACCACTGAGCTACAAACCCAGCCCAAAGATATTTTTTAAGTAATGAAAATTCAAATTTCATGGAAGAAAATTTACATGATGACATTAGGCAATACTAGAAGAAAAAAAA